TTCCCGGCGCGCGGAAGGCGGTGAACGGGCCTTTCCATGGGGGTAGGTGACGGGTTCCGGTGAGCTGTTTTTCCATGGTGGTCGTACAAGGTGCGCTGTTCGAAGCAGACACTCAAGGACACTCAGAGTGTCCTTGATGAGTCTCCTTGAGAGACTGGTCTGCGGATGTCTGCGGTTTTCTCGTGAGCGTCATGAAGCGTTGATAGAAAGAGGAAGGCCTAAGACTCCAAGAAAACAAATATTAGGGTCAAGAAGAAGAAGAAGAAAACAACATGTTGTTAACACATGGAGGAAGAAGCAAGAAGGGTTAATAAGAAGAGTGAAGCTGGGAAGGCATGGCAACAAAGATGTGCCAACTGCAAAGACAATAGAAAAAAACACCTACCCCAAGGAGATCCCAGATCAAGGTGAGATTTAATCTACTGATGCGCGAAGCGGGGGGATGATGCAGACCTGGCGATGGACTCCGATTCATTCCGATTCAAGTCCAGAACACCACTGTGGCGGCGAATCGATTCGGCGAGGGTAGATTATGGTAGATTTGGCTTTAAAGGGGCTGGGTTTTAGCACCGTTGGGCTAGTAAAACCCTTGGGCGCCCTATTGTCACAACAGGTTCTAGGGACGCCCTAGCCAGGCTAAGCCTAGCTCACAATGCACACACCGCAGAAAAGACGAAGGAGGCACAAAGAACCCTTCAAGTTCGGATGGCGCCCCAACGAGCTCTCCCAAGCTGCACAGAACTCTTTGGCTTGGTCGGTTTACCCTTGAACTACGCGATCCCCGACCTCCGCTTGGATCTGCGCATCCCCCCCCCGCCCCTCTGCGCCCCATCAGACGCGTCGGAACGTGTGCGAACACCAGCGGCGGAGCGATGCACTCGGTCGAAGCGCTCCGGTGACTGGTGACGTGGATGGCATCCGAACTCAGGGGCCATGCAATCCATGACCGGATGACCCCATCCACCATGATGATGATCTCATGTTACATGGTTACATGGGATGATTGTCTAACATGGGGTCATCCGCAATCCGATTCATGCGGCCATGATGATTCCAGGGAGTCTACACCCCAGGTTTGTTTGACAAGGCCCAGCATAGAGTCTGTTTAGCAATTCTAGAGGGACTTTTTAGGCTAGCGGCGAACGGAACGACGGGTTTCCGATCATGTCACAAGTTCGGCCGGAACTGAAACTTCTGGATCCTTGGGCCGCCCTTGGCCCATGGCCGCCCTTGCTGGGAGCAGGTGTTGAACGAAGACGCACTGGTGAGGATTTGCCGCTTTCTGCCTGCGGGGCCCTTGCTGGAGAGAGAGGGTGGATGAGGGTGGATGTGGAGAATCTCGTTGAACAATCTTGAAACCATGTGGGGTTGACATGGATGTTCATCCTGAAAGTAAGATGTATGTAATCGATTTCTTATATAGTTGTGCCAGAATATGCCAGCTGCACATGCACGAGTGTATACTATAGTCTATATGCATAATTATGTCATCATATCGTTAGCTGCAGAAAATTTGACAGAGAGTCAATGGCAGCGGGAACGGACGAGGATTTGTAGATGATGGCGATATGCGTGATCAGATGAATATGGGATAATATGGGGTCATATGTATTTATCAAGTATCAGATGATGATGAGGAGAAGGAGGAGGAGGAGGAGGGAGAGGATGATGGATGATGCACGATGGTCCTTTTATGTCCTTTTCACTGGGTCGTTCTGAGCCCTCCAAAAGTAGATTCACACCGCTTCGCGGTCGAAGCCGCCCGCACAGAATAAAGGGAAAACAGACACACACATACAGACATAGACATCCATCCATGCATACAGACATACAGACATGCAAACATACATCCAGACATACATGTGAACAGTGAACAGTGTGTCATTAGCACCCTACCGGCTCGGATCGGCAGCGGACACCTGCGCTTCGGTCTATGCCGGGAACGAGCAACTTGTGCTCTAGGAGCCGGGAGGAAATGTTAACCGGGCTCATGCGTGAAGAAGCCCTATCTAATCACCAGCCCCTTCACTGAGGGTTCTGTCTCGGTCTGTCAGTCTGCTTGCTTGGGTCGAGCAGGACACACGGACGATGTCAATGATTGTCTCGGTCTGTCTGTCTTGGTGTGTCTGTCTCGGTCTGTCTATCTTTGTCAGTCTGTGTTTCGGCAGGACACGCGGATGAACGCATCCACAATGTTAGTGAATGCAGTGTCCTCCGGGTTACACATACGTCCGCGATGTCGATAATGCGATCTCACCCCGCCTGCGCAGCCGGCATCGCCAACGTGCGGTCCATAGCCATATCCACTTTTAGCACGGCTCACCCGCCAGGAGCTGGGCACCACATGTGCCGACTTCCATCACCGAGCTCGGCACTCCAAAGAGCTTTGGAAGGCGCCGTTAGCAGCGCAACCAGTGGAGCACCGCGCCGTTCGGTAGAGCACCCGGCTTTTTTTTCGCAAAGGCGTGTTTTTCCGGGTGTAACACGTAGTGAAGCAAGAGTGTCCAACAACGTTTGGGCGTTTGGGGTTGGACCTGTGTGCATTGCGGGTTGCTGTCTATAAGGTTTTTTCCGTCTTATGCTGTTTGTGGTGGCCTTGGAGTCCCAGGTGTGGCGCTTGGCCACACCTTTGGACGGGGAGGGTCCTGACGCTGGTGGAAGGGTTCGGGGCCTGCATAGGTTGCCAGAATTGGTCCCTATCGCGCCAAGGCACCCAGTGCCCCTTGAAGGACTATGGTGGGAACCCACGGCCCAGTTGTTCTCAGAAGTTCATTTGGGTGGGACATAGAAAGACCTGAGACGGGTAGACGCTGGGACGTCGGGGTCCCCATGATCCACTCACTGGATGGGACTAGAAATCACCCCAACATGTGACTTCTGGCTCATAGATGCTGTTTCACAAAGATACTATAGCATACTATAGCTAGAAGCTACGCACGGTGGAGGCCATCGCTCTTAGGTTGGATTCCATGTCCTTAGGGCGAGAATTGGCACTCGAAGCTGTGCAGCTTTGCTTCACGTCGGCAAGAGCGGACCCGTTGCAAAAAGTTCCCTGAGGCCACCTCAGGTGGATTTTGACGGGGCGCCCCACCTAACTTCATTAGGGAGGTCTCACTTCCATGATGGCTGTGGGCACACCCAGCTCATCACAGCTGACCTTCCGTTCAGGAGCTGTGTGCCTTCCTGCTGGGTGAGACAACGCTCTTGTCGCTTGGACCCTGTGCGGGTAGGCATGTGACTCAAGATGTCTTTGTCTCAGAGGAGGGAGGAGCGTGTTTGAAAGTAACATCGACTGACATCACTAGTTACACTAGCCCCATGTAATTACTAGGCCCCTATTTAGATGGTTCAGGCGCTTCTGTAAAGCAAAATCCTTTTTGGATGGCAAAATCCTCAATGCATGACTTTCTTTAGGGAACAGCTGCCGCCAAAACAGACGATTCATTCGCATTCATTGGAAAACACGTGCACCTCTCCCGCACCTGGGGGGCCTTCTGTTTGGTGCTTTGTGTGTTTTTTTCCTCTCTGAGGATTCATGAAGCCAACTGGTCCTCCAGAGCCTCGGCTTTCACGACGTTTTAAGATCCCAGCAAGCCTGGGTGTGGGTGGGTGGGGGTGCTGTTGATGGACAGAGTCGATCACCTGGGACGGAAGGATGAATGTCTCTTTTCTGATGTTTAGCAAGATGCTGTGTGACTGTGTCTTCTTCTTGTTCCTAGCAGGCACTTCCTTCAGAGCGCAGGCAGGGGGGAATGTGATTAGAAGAAACAAACATGTTGATTTAAGATAGAGATGGTCAGAACATGTAAGAACTCATCTAAGAACATGAGCAGCATGGGGCTAAGTTGGGACGCTTGTCCATGAGATTTTTCAATTTCCGGTGTCAGGAACACTAGTTTTGTTGAGTCTTGTCGACCAGTCGGACACATCTAAGATCTCTAAGAGCGCGCACCAAGAAGACCCGATACTTGCCAACTTGCGTGCTACTGGAGGTTTCAGTGCTGTTTTTGGCCCTATAAGACAGAAAGCTACTGGCAACTGGCATCTAGGATGTTAGTTATGGGATGCACCATGATGCACCCTTGAATCGCACGTTTTTCTTTGTTTGAGACCTTCTTTTGGGACCTTTGGATGGGGCACTCTTGACTCTTCTGGGCACGGATGGGGCGGACGCCCCTGCTCCGCGCCGCCTGACGTCGCCCGAGGTGGTGCCGCGGACTTCTATCAGCGCTTGTTTCGGGCGGCCTGGCGATGTGAGGCCGGCCAATGGAACGGCCATAGGGCGGCAGCGTGGCAGTGGTCGGACGACCTATTGGCAGTTGTAGACGGGTTCGGGAACGTTCGTGCCCAGGCAGTGCGGAATTGATTGGAGGCCGAGAGGTAGATGATCGCTTGCTAGCTTTTCCTTTTTTTTAGACCTACAACACCTACATTAACCCTTTGGGTGGGTAGACTGGTCTATGTTCCTTCAGAACACTGGTTTAAGACCCACACCCATTGGGGCCCAGGGCTGGCGTATAGCATGATATATCACGCTATATATATACCCTAGGTTTCAAAGACTATGAAAACAATGGTCTTTTCGAAAGACTATAAGATTGCTGTGAACCACTCATGAACCACTCATAAGCATTCCCCTGTCGATACCCTTCGATGCCCTTCGATACACGGCGCCACGATCAGGTTGTCGAGTTGACACATGTGGCCATCTGCGGCCCAATGTAGCACCACATGGTGCTGGGAAAGCGGGTAAAGCATGTTTTTTTCAATATATTATCTGAATCAATGAACGCTCTGGAATCTGGAATTTGCAAACACGATCTTTCTTTCGCATCCTTTCCGCTTCTTTGGGAGAGCCATGCTATGCGGAAAGCACTTCTGCTGAGGGGTATGCGGCCTAGCCGATGAATGTGAAGTAGTTCGATCTGATCCATTTTATGTTTAAAAAAGTAGGTCGATCTACTGGGGTGGCCGGTTCCCAGGTCTTGCTTCAGCAGCAGATGATTCATTATCTACTCCTGCATCTGATTCTGAATCTTCAGGCTGGACCGACCCTGACAGCATGTGGTCTTGCTTTGGCCTCCAATGCTAACGGTTTTGCACTGATCCTGCCCCTGACCTTTGAACCCGCAGCAATTTTTTTTGGGCAGCGATCTGCGCGGGCCACATGTCCTCGGACCGGCTGTCGCTGTTGAAGGCTTGGTCACTCTAAAGTTCGGCCATTGTGTCATTCGCTGACTCTGATCTTTTAAAAACATACATTGCGTTGCCATCGAATTTTGCAGGCGTTCTATGAAGAGTACGTCACGGATGACTTTGTGAAAAAAAGGAAGAGGGACATCAAACACAAGACTGGAAAGAATAAAAGTGTCGGTCTGGCATGCATACGCCTTCGTTGCATTCAATGCGAAACTGTTTTGAAGCCAAGTGGCCTTGGATGCATCGGTCGATATCTTACGTCACCAGCTTGCCAGGCCTTCAGCATTGTCGATGTCAACTCAAAACATATTTCCGAAGTGGAGGACTGTATGGGCCATGGGCACACATGACGGGAGATGCATGCAAGTGTTGAAGATTGTTGAAGTGAATTGACCATGCATGTGTGCACCCATGCATGCATGTATTCCATCTATATCTGATGCGTCGTCAGGCAGAGAAGAAGGTGAATTTTGAATTCACATCTCGGTATTTAGCACACTTTATTGGCGACCTCCCCCTGCAAAAAGAAGTGGAGGCCCGCCAGTGAATCGGTTCTAATATGGGCAAAAATCGATTCAACTAGATTGATCGATCGATCAACTGCACTGAAAAAAACATCAATTGAGAGTAAACATGAGCGTGCACTGTACTGATGAACCTGCAGGCTGTTCTTTGTGAGATGTCGATGGAGAGGAAGTGGAACAGCTTCGAGACCACCGCAGAACACCAGGTGCGGAAGGACATGGCGACATGCACACTTTCACAGCCTGCGTCTCTTTGCGCCAGGCATGGGCGTTGATCGAAGGTGGCCTGCACCGGGCACTTGGTTCTTACGTGCTGAACCGGTTCAATCGCACCCAAAAGTGCAGGCAGGTTACACAGTTTTTCTCTGGGCCCATAAAATCATGATGATTTAACAACAAATGCTGCATGCAATACGCGTATGTATGCATGGGTGCTTCCAGGAAGTCTCATCCTCGCATGGAAGCCATGAAGACATTAGTGAGGATTCGGTTGGAGGAGCGAGAGACCGATCATGGCCTATATCGTGTACTTCACGCGGCAATCAGTACTATAGTGTCACTAGTATAAATCCGAATGACGAGTTTTTTGTGATGTGCGCCGATTGAATACGTGCATGTGCATGTTGCAGGAACTTGGCCTCCTGAACGATGATGGGAAAAAGATTACCTCTAGAAAGCGTTCGAGCACTTCCATGCAATCTCCAGATGATCAGGCTGTTATGGACCAATGGAATTGGGAAATCATGTTGTGCTAATTATCATCCCAAGATGTGTGCATGCATATACTGGTGTAGTGCTTTATCACGCTACAGGATGTCTCGATTTTATGTTTGCGTGCAGGAAACACAAGTTCAGGATTCTCAGGGTCCAGCTCCGCCTGCTCCTCTCGAGCCCCAAATTGAGGACACATTTGGAGATGGTTTGGAGGGTGGTGAAGAAGAACACATGTCAGATGAGGATAGCGTTGTTGAACCAGTGACATGTCACATTGACCCTGAGCCCAGTCCTGAGCCTGAGATTCCCGCCCCTGACCAGCACAGTGCATCCGAGCCACATGCTGCTGTGGATGTGCCTCCCGATGGCGAGCTTGATGAGAAGCTACAGGTCAAAGGGACCTTCAAGGACCATGTTGATCGGCACCACTTTTGTTTGAGTCAAGCACAGCATCAATATGCATTTACATGCATGCACATGGTACAAGGCAAATATTGCAAGCATCGATCAAGCAAATGCTCGCGCACATTTTGCACGATCGGAGCTGGTGTGCAAATGCATTTTATCACATGCCATGCGTGCCGTGCAATCGAAACATATTTTATATGTGTGCATGTGGTACGTTATGTATTAAAATTCCGCATAGTCACAGTCGCAGGATACAAAGCCCCTGGCAGAGATTCCGGATCCACCGGCAGATTCTCTCATGGGCCAGGCCCTGGAAGCTTGCGCAGCTATCGAGAAAAAGGTCAGTGACAACAACTTGGATTTGGTGGAAGCCCAACGAGCTATGAAGAAAGCTGCAAGAGAAGCAGCAACTGCTGATGATGAAGATCCAGATCGGGACTTCAAAGATGAACACAGCGATGATGACAAACCACAGGGCCGAGGCAGAGGGAGGGGGCGCGGCAGAGGCAGGGGTCGAGGGCGAGGCAACAAGGATCAAGCTGATCCACCACCCCAAGATCCTGCCGAAATGCTCCAAAAGGAGAGGCCGTTGCCAGCAAGCTTCCCAGGAAGAGAACTCTTGAAACCCTCGATGAGGCTGCGGCTGCGAGTTCAGCCAATCAACAGATCCGTGAACCTGTGCCGGAGGAAGAGGCACCTAAGACTCCGCCCACCATGTCTCCCTTTTATCCATCGCCAAAGGCTTCACCAAAGGCTTCGCCAAAGGCTTCACCAAAGGCTTCGCCGAAGGCTTCACCCAAGCCTTCGCCAAAGGCTTCACCCAAGCCTTCGCCAAAGGCTTCACCAAAGCCTTCGCCAAAGGCTAAGGCTGCTGTGGCTCGCCGTGCTAGAGCCCAGCGTGCAGTAATCAGATCTCATCCCAAATCACCGGCCATCTCGAAGAGTGCCAAGAAGAACAGGCTGTTTGAGGCTACGCGATACACATCGATGCACACATGCATGCATGCATATTGTGTAAAACAATTGGTGCACATGCATACACGTCACCACATCACCAGAAAATGTGCATGCTTTGATTCTTATTCGAGTTTTGAGACTCGATCCATGATCACTGTGCGCTAGCTGGTTTTACTCGATCATACTTTTTACATCGTATGTGTTGGTTCAACCTTCCGTGGAACATGAGAGTTAGTCCAAATCTTCTGTTAGGCCAACATTGCGGCTTTGACATCCGAGAGTTCGAACATGCGATTCTTCTCCATGCCTGAAGATCTGTCCAGGCGAAGGCGAGGTTGTCATCGTCCAACTTCTTTCCTGGGATACCATGGCTGTGTGCACTGTAGGAGTTGGACTCTGCATCCACCAGAAGATGTCCCGGGAAACAACGTTGGAGCGGAGCTGGCCTCCATTGGGGTACAGTCTCGGGCCCAGAGTCTCCGTACAGGTTTATTCTGCAAAACATAACTCGACTACAATATGCATGGCTCATGATTGTTTGCTTTGCAAGTTTTGAGGCCTGATCGGTACGGAGCCTACTATGTGAGCCCGATCAACAGTGAGGAGCTACATGATCAGATTACAAATATCTTACGTCTGAAGGCCAATCTAGCTAGTTGACTTCTGACTTCTATCGACTGTCCGACTCGTCATTGTATAGTATTCTATTCTATTGTGCCAGGTGAACGCAGGGAATGGCGTATCGATCTCTTGGATGAAGAACAACGGGTGTGAGCAAGCGTTCGGCGCTCGGAATTCGACAGCTTCCAACAGACGTCAATTAGCAGTTAGTGCCAACTGCATCCAACTACAATTATTTAATAATTGGTATCATATCATATGTTTTAGCTTTGCAATTTGTAGTCTCTTGACATCTAATAGATTGCACCGACCAATATACGATTAGAACACTTCCAATTCCAGCCCACACCTGCGAGCCAGTCACCAAATTCTGTTCAGGTGGTCGCTGGCACTGATGGCAGCGGGCTGGTGCCCTATGGTGCACGAAGCCGCACTGGCACCACCGCCTTTTGTGCAAGAACAGGAATTTCCTGAAGAATGATTACTAAGTAGGATGGGTTTGGCACCATGCATCAATGATCCAACGCATATGGATATTATGTAATACCCTGCCGATCAAAATGTGCAATGCATTTGTCACTTCAGGTTTTATGTTGGATCAACACTTTGAATCCGATATCATACGACCCGATTCCGACACAAATATTACGTGTTTGTTGGATCAACCTTTTAAAGGCCGAACCGTTTCTTTTCCAGACACACCTCATCGAAATTTGCCGGCCTCGAGCAAGCAAAGAGCCCACTGCCAGCGAGTACAGCGCAAATTGCAGTTGATTGCAATCCTCAGCTTTGCAGTCGCAACACATTGTTTCGAGTTGTTAATTTAATAAGACTTCGATCGGTCGATACGATGTTTATGAACTGGCCCGAGAGGAAGTAGTTGTGATTTGTTTTTGTGCTATGCCACCACGATCTGTGCCGTGTACGCTACTTTTGCCAGAGATGGATGAGAGCCCGTGCGAATCTCCACTATTCCTGTCAGCTTCAGCAGTGATCACCCTTGTATCTTTGGGATGTCCGTATTTGCTGAACCTAGGCTGTGCTAATGACTGTCGTGGGCATGTGGGCCCGATGTTTTTTTGACCGATTGAGCACGCACGTCCCGTCCATCGTGAACACTGCGCGCGCTGGATCGCCGAGGATTCATTTGGCTGATTGGATTGCGCAGAATACCACACGTCCAGAAAGCCGGTCCAGGGTTCGAGACTCAATCAATCTTGAGAACCTATCTCGTCTAATGTTTTTGGCTAGAGTGCATGCCATGCATGTGCAACATTTGGTAGGTGTTCACAGTGCTCGACCTGTTCTGCGGGAAGGCTGCAATCTACGAAGCTTTTCGTGGGGGGCCCATACTCATGCATGTCCTAGTTTTATCGTTCTGGTGGTGCACTTGCTTTGATCATATTGCATTGTTGCATTGGGCCGATGCCAATGTGATCTGCTCCCAGGAAGCACCGGGAAGAGTGCGCCTCATGCCCAGTGCACAAAGCAAAGCAGCGCATGCATGTCCTGGTATATGCGTGCATGGTGCTGTGCAGTCTTCTCGATTGCACTGAGGGCTTGCTACGACCGTGATTTGCGTCCCAAAAGCAACGATATACTATCGACGCTGGGTCCCC